TGTTAGTGTACTGTTGTATATAAATACAGGTACATCTTGAATGAAGAATGATGAGTTCATGAATACTCATGTGTGCAGAAGAGTGCGGTTAGATTGCTAAGGCGTTGATTATTGTAGCGTCGCTAAGAACATAGATAAAAACACTGATAAAAGGCACGAGGATGTTGTAGCACTAATTATTGGGCTGTGCCCCAGCAACGTGTGCACCGTGAGGCACACAAGCGTTCACTAACACTGCATAAGAAGATGCTTGTTCACATGCTGTTGAAGGGATTACACACGTATCATTATGGAGCCATAACACATCTCACTAAGGAGATGCCACATATTTGCGAATTGTTAGTATTGCCACTTTAGATTGTGGACAGGGGAACTTAAACACACAGTTGTGGTGAAGCCCAGATATTGTAAAATTCACTGGACTAGTCTTACAGCTTATCGTCAGTACACCAGAGCGTCATTTTAGCACGGTAGGCAAAGGTCTGTGCCCAATGCCGCGATGGTATTCATGATGCTGGAGATTGAATTAACCGCTCCTTTCAGCCAGGTAGCGAAATCTTCACAATTGCTTATATTTGATCTAACTTCGCAATGAACATTTTCAGAAGAAATCAACAATGCCTTAATTATTTTGTGCAGAAAATTGCGTAGCAAAATATTTTCAACCATCTTGTTTAAATTTTAAAGCACGCGAAAGATAGAGGTATATGACTGCTTCTATAAATCACTCATAAAGATTATATAGGAGGAGGAACACTGAAATCAATTGAAATTTCCCTTTCACAAAAATCCTTGCTTTCTGTATCCAGAATTAGCATTTCAATGTATTTTATTTATAATATTTCACCTGAAAATTTCGGCCCCTCCCCAAAGCAAGGAAAAAGACAAAGTAAATTCTAATTAGAATCTCGTACCTTAAATAAAGAGAATTCTATTTAAAGATTTGAAAACGTAAGAGAAATACTAAAATACTTCAGTGATAAATTCAAATCAGAATTTTACCTTTACACAAAAAGTACATAATCGATAGAATTTAAAACAGAAGTGAAATTATAAAACTTCAGTGAAAAGACTTATTTTGCATTTATAGGATTATTTAAAATTTATTACTTATGAATTTCAATTTTTCATCTTTGTGAAAAATCAGTTCTAAATTTCTTATATATATATATGCGTTTGATTCGGCCAATTGCAATAAAAAAGAGCGGAGCACAGTTAGATGTTGTAACAGTCCCACATACAAAATTTCAACGTTCTATGGCTAATCTTTTTAAGTTATGCGAGATACATACGTACGGAAGTACAAACGTCACGAAAAAGTTTCTTATTAATCCATTTTTAAATCCATTTTAGAATTCGTTTTGTAAAAGTGCATGCTTTATTCTGTCTGTACATATAGACGGCACGCAAAAGAAATCGTCTAAATGGATTTGGGAACGATCAAACTGGATATTTCCATTGAAATACAATACCCAAAGGTTTTCGTGATAATAATACTTCTTTTACTTTACAAGAAAGTAAAAAGATTGATATAATTTCTTTCAGTAAAATTCTATCATACTTTAAAATTTTTTTCATCTCGCAATTTTAGCTTCTACAAGAGCAGATGAAATACACTGTTAGTACGCACCGAGAAGATCTAAAGCAAACTGGACACAAATTGATATGCATATAGGTTTCGACGGAAAATGCGAAATTTTACATTTTGGCTGTCATTGAATGAACGGTTGTCGCTACAGCGTATCTTATCTGCGCAACTGGCAGGGTATTTAAGAGGAGAAATTACGATTCCGAGTCATAAATTCTTCACGAATTTAATTCCGTGTATTCTGGTAGACAGTAAATATGCCTCGCATACAGGTGCGCGAACGTAATGCGCAGATGTCAGAATTTGAGAGAGGTCGTGTAGTTGGCTCAAAGAAGCCGGTTGGTCTTATCGGCGACATTTGAGCAGGAGAATAGATCGACATTTGAGCAGGAGCGATGACACTATTAGACGATGTTTTCAGGAATGGGTGAACCATGGCCGCACACAGCGTCAAGAAGGAAGCGGTAGGCTTAGAGAAATTACAGAACGTGAAGACCGAGCAATCGTCAGAGCGGCACTCACAGCCCCAGATGCATCATTATCATAGATTGTACGTGCAACTAGTGCTTCAGTGACCTCAAAGACCATTCATAGACGGCTCACAGAAAGGGAGCTGAGGTCACGGCACCCCTTGCGCCGACTACCATTGACCTCTGTACAACGTCAAGCCCGTTTGCAGTGGTGACGGGCTCATTCGCACTGGAATGTCACTGACTGGAGGAGAATAGTCTTCAGTTATGAGTCCCGCTTTGAACTGAGCCCCGACGACCAGCGAAGGCAAGTCTGGAGGCGTCCCGGACAGCGGTAGCGGTGTGATACCAACTTGACTGTCTTCCGGAAGACAGGCCGACAACCAGGAGTGATGGTCTGGGGTGCCATTTTATTTCATAGTAGGACCTCTTTGGTTGTCATCCGTCGCAACCTTACAGCGCAGCGGTACGTCGACGAAGTTCTAAGGCCCGTTGTGTTGCCCTTCATGTCACGCCACCCTGGGCTTACATTTCAGCAAGATAATGCCCGCCCCCACACTGCATATGTTTCTACTGCTTGCTTTAGTACTTGCCGAACATTACCCGGTCCGCAAGGTCGCCGGATCTCTCTCCTATTGAGCGCGTTTGGAGCGTTATGGGCGGGCTTACCAACCAGCTCGGAATGTTGACGATCTAACTCGCAAGTTGCACAGAATTTGTAACGATATCCCTCAGGAGGACATCCGCAACGTCTATTAATCGATGCCAAGCCGAATAACTGCTTGCATAAGGGCCAGAAGCGAACAAACGCGTTACTGACTTTTTCACTTTGTCAAGCTCTATCACTTCAATAAATCATCCAATTTTTCTCAAACTATAATCATTTCGTTTTTTGTATATGTACATCACTTCTACCGATTTTCGTCCCATTCGGATACCTCCTTCTTGGTGCGTCGAGGGTTTTTTTTTTTTGTCCAAGAGTGTATATTTAGTCCGATATTGTTTGCACCTTCTCCATGCTCTTACGGATATAACTTTATAATAATCAGGAAGTAACGAAAAAGCAATGAAATTTGCATGTCTAACTGTCTAGCTGAACTTCAAAGTTCTTCCCGTAGTTTCTGAAGTGTAATGTATATGTTCTAAGTTGTTTTGGGGCAACTTGTAGTTTGAAAGAAAACTGAAAATATTTATTATGTGCAATGAATTTAATTATTTATAGAATAAATTGCTAACGTACTAAATATGTTTTTGTTGATAATCATCTTTAGTTTATTTTATAAATAAAACCATCTTTGAAGTAAATAAAAGACAGAATGAGATTTTTCCATATGACATTACCAAAAGAGATTAGAACAAAAAATATATATATATGATGTGTAAACCACATAATTTCCTTGAACGGAATATTTAATTATACGTACTTCTTCCTGCATTTTATTTAAACTTATTTCCTCGAATTTCATTAGAGATATATTTCTCATTTAATTAATTCAGTTCTCAGACTGAGACATAGCGAAAATACATAAAACCTAAAATACATTTATTAAAAATTTAAAAATACAAAACATAAATACAGTTAAAACAATTTAAAGAACAATTTTTACAATTAAAAATTAGAGTTTCTACGCAAAAACAAGCAACCAACGGACAAGCAGGCAGATTTTTCGGTGCACAAAATTGAAAGTTTCTTTTTGGTCTCACTCGGCAAAAAGACATTGAAGGCGTAGAGACTGACTTAATTTGTTGTGGACGCTATGCTCAGTCAATATATGGGGTAATTTAAAAACTTAAATTATAATTCCAGAATGGATAAAGCATGATTTAATTAGCAATAATAAAAGAAGACGTTATCTTTGTTGTTGCGAAGCTTAATATCTCTAGATCGGCAACAAATCCACTATTCTGCTAAGTTTCAAATTTAAACAAATATAGCTGCTATGGGAAAAAAATTAGGCTTAGCCGTACTAAATTATTAAATTGTTGATAATTCTACAGTTATTACATGCAGGTTGACTAGAGGCATAAAAACTTTAACGAGAAAATAAGAACAACATAATGCGAGCATTTTTAAAGCAAAAAATGCATTATTTACCAAAATATGCTAATAAAAAAACAACTGAGCTCACGGAGCCGCGTAACAGAGAGAGTATATTATGTATATATTTATATTTATATCCTTTTGGTGTGGCCGATTGCCACCAAAAAGAGATTGCCACCAAATGCACAACTACATGTTTTCACAACTACAGTCCTATATACAAAATTTCAACGGGATATGGGTACTCGTTTTGGAATTATGCGAGATACATACATATGTACGTACAGACGCCACAAAAAATCTGTTCTGAATCCATTCTAAATCAGTTTTATAATTCAAATGGTCAAAATGGAGATTTTCGTTGAAAAATGTACACGGAATTTTTCTTGATTACAATACTTCCTTTACATCGTACGAGGAAGTAAAAATTAACATTTTGACCTGTGCAATGTTAAGTTTTAATACGTGTGAAATTTTTATGTTAAAAACTGTAAAGTTATTTAGTACAAAGAATATAATTATATATTTAAAAACATAAAAATTACCTTAAAATGTTTTGCATGAAGAAAATACTAACACAGGAAAGCTGTGTAGTAGTTATTCCCTACAGAAATTAAATCTTTATCTGCAGTGCATATTAACTCTGTTGTACATTTTCCATTACGGTAACTCATAAAGGAAAACGTAAACAAGACTGTAAGTCATCATCCTGTGTCTCATCGTTCCCTTATAGGGTGGCCTGTAATATGCGACAACAGACTGCCGGCGGATGAAAAGATACCTAAAGAATTTTGCCCATTAAAGGTGGGTGCTGTCTTTAATGCAGGAAAAGAACCTTGGTATTATTCAGAAGGACACTTTCACCGAATAATTTTCAAGGGTGAGTGAAAGTGAAGAACAAACAATTTGTGAGCCCATGGGCGGGAGCCGTCACCATGGCCATGAAAATTACAGCCCACGTGAGGTATATATGCCTAGGCTTCGAATGGAATATATACAGATAACTGGTCCAGAAATGATTGTCGCAGTAAGTTTTTCCGATGCTCTTTTTTCCTTTCCTTTCTTTTGCTGATAAATTTAAATCAGTTTTCTTTCTAATCAGAAAGAATGGCATAAAATCATCATTATCAAGTTTATGAATACTAAATGTTATTTATTTATAAAATTTTATTAATCTTATTATACTAAAAGGTTTCTTTTATTATACTAAATTAGAGAAATATGTTTCTATATGGAACATATTTTTATTTTTAGAATCAATACTTACCTGTTCTTAGAATCAATGAACGAGCTATTTTTATTTTGTAGTTGTTCGTAATTGCTTTTTAGACCAAAAAGGACTGTTGGTCTTGAAATGGGAATTTTGTGTCGAATTATTTTAAATTTGTCGTTTTACTTTGCATTCGCGTCTGTTGCCATTCGGCAAAATGTAAGATGTTTATCTTTCCAATTGAATCTGCCTATTGTGTATTAACAAAGTAATCTATTTAATGCGATAGATGCAGTTCTTAAGAATATTCGTTTCTTACTTTTGAATCGGATTTATTTCATTCGTGTGTGTGTGTGATTATGGCAAAGCCTCGAGGGCTATCTGCCTAAGGGGAGGGATGCCTTCGTGGAGGACTTTCTAAGGGAAACTGGCTCGTATACACGTTACACATGGGGAAAACCACGAAAACGCCCATGCAGCCAGCCCGTTCGCGGGATTCGAACCTCGGACCGAACTACCAGTGTTCAGCGACTTTACCGCTCGGCCGCTGGTGGGCCTCATTTAATTCGTGATTTATTTAATTAAAAATATTCATATTTTCACAGAATAGCGTAATATATATTTAGCCCAAAGGGGCAATTTGCCTAGAAGAGCTATTAATTTTCGTTTTGCCGTTTTGCGTTAATTCGCTATAAACAGCGAATCACTTTTTAATTGTTGCCACCAAATAGTAGAGCCCTGCATTGTACTTAAAAGAAATTAAATGATGAAGAATCTGCACAAATGTATGTATATTTCTCGCATTGTGATAAAACAACGGTACCTAGAGATATCCAATTTTGAATAACGTACGTCTCCACCCGAATATGGGAAGCCCAATTTTGGAATTTAAAATTTGTTTTATTATCTGTTTCATATTTTGTAAAGCAGTTATGGGTTTTTGATTGAAAAACTCGACGATGTAAAAGTGAGCAATGGCAACACTGTACGCCAGGAAAGAAAAAAAAAAAAATACCTCCAGTGCGCGAGACTGTGTATCGGAAATTCTGAAGATATGTTGTTTTGAACATTTTATTCGTTAAATTACATAGACATTTTTTAGATATTTTTTATTATTTATTTCATAATTTGTAAAATTAAATTCGTTAAATTACATAGATATTTTGTAGAATTTTTTTATTATTTATTTCATAATTTGTAAAATTAAATTCGTTAAATTACATAGTCATTTTGTAAAATATTTTTTATTGTTATTTATTTCAGAATTTGTAAAATTAAATTCGTTAAATTAAAAAAGACATTTTGTAGAATAATTTTTTTATTATTTATTTCATAAATTTGTAAAATTAAATTCGTTAAATTATAGACATTTTGTAAAGTATTGTTTTTTATTATTTATTTCATAATTTGTAAAATTAAATTCGTTAAATTACATAGTCATTTTGTAGAATAATTTTTTTATTGTTATTTATTTCAGAATTTGTAAAATTAAATTCGTTAAATGAGATAAGACATTTTGTAGAACTTTTTTTTTATTTTTTATTTCTTTTATATTTTTTTAAAACATTACCGAATTTTTGATTAACAAACTCAACGATATGAAAGTTAGCAGTCGCAACACTCTACGGAACAACATTTTTATCACCAGCGCGAGACTATATATTGGAAATTCTAAAGATATGCTGTTTTTACGATTATATATGTAATTTATGATTTTGGTGTTGAATTGAATTTCATGTAGCGTAATTGCAAACAACATGATATGTAAGAAATAAAGTTAACACGTGGAAAATAATAAAAATAGAGAAAAAAGAATGTTTCGTTAGCCATCCTACTAAGAAAACTGAACATTAATATGATAAACTCAGGAAAGACTGAAAAAATAGAAAAATGTATGCCGACACTTAACACTGCTTTTAAAATTTTTGTGATTTTGCCGTTGAATTGTGCATGGCGTAAGTGCGAAGAAAATGATGCATAATAATAAAGCTTAAGAGACAAAAAGGAAAAAAAAAAGGCTTTATTAAGAGTGAGTTTATGAAATTTCTGTATATTAACTATACAGAAAGAGCAATTATATGGTGCTAAACTGTATATATATATATATAATTCATAACATATTTTTAAAATGTCATTTAAAAAATTGCCATTCATTTCGTTATCATTATAATCATTCATTAGCATTTTTAAAATATCAATCATATTTTTAAATAATATTAATAATAATATAGCAATTAGATGGAGATAGTGGTAGTTAAGATATATTTTAGTCTTTTGCTGTTAAAAGAGTCTTTGACTTCATAGCTGCGAACTTTAATTGTTTTATAATTAATAATTGCTTTGACTTGTATGAAAATTTTGAGCCAGGTGATAATATGAGAAGCTGTGCAATATTTAATTCCCATTAGTGTTCCGTGTAATGGCATTTAAATCCTGGCACAAATTATTAAGCAGTATTCACTGTGTTACAACTGAAAGTTTCTCCGCTTAATGAGAAAATTACGAAAAATTTGTCTGTGAGGTTATTCATGGATTCCAATTCTGGCATTTTTGCCTTTATTTTCAACATCACGGCACTTAAGGAAAACCCTTGGAATATATTTTATAATAAATTTCAGAATGTAGGCAAAAATACTAATATTTGACCTGCGGGACCATATCATGATTTTTCTGAGCAGATTTGTTTTGAATCATGCTAACGTAAGAGATTCCTGAAAGTGGAGAAAGCTTTGGTTTCCGATCTATTGCTTTTCAAAATCACAGCAGGTTGGGCTGTGTTAACTTCAAGTTGCTTATTTTCAATTTTATTTGGCATATTTGAGTGGAATTTGGGACAACCACGATGATTCGCGGTATATTCTCGTAAATAATTACAGCACTTAATATTATCAATATGTATTCCAGGACATTCGGAGCTTTTATATGACCCCCGACATTTAACACAACGTGATTTGCATTAACGCTATCATTTGTACCTAAGTGTTTATCCTATGCATCAGTGCAACTTTTCTCACTTTAAGTCTTAAATTTTTAAGTTCATCTTCGATGTCATCAAGAGGATAACCAACTGGTAAGTCTTCCATAAAAACCCTTAATCGGTCTTTCGAGTTTAGAGTTTATTGCATAGGAATATATGCGTTTTTTCATCCAGATATCTGGTTATAACTCTATGACAATCCTCACTACGTAGATTAATTTTGAAGAACTCGAATTCCGTTTTTATATCAGTTTTTCGGATTTTTGTGAAATTAGAATACTTCTCATTTGGTTTGATCATAATTGGCCTAATTTTCAGAGATTGAGCGGTCTCCGGAATAACCCTGGAAATCAGAATAAAAATAATGGTGGATACCTAACACCGTTATATTTATTCTCATTTTCCAGGGATACTGAGCTAAATTTATTTCGAATCGATATATCAGTATTACATTTAACTATCTTAACGAGTCGGGCTAGTTTTCTAAGCGAAATAAATCCTCTGCTTTACCATTACCACTAAGGCTATACTAGATTTCTCAGAATTACAAGTCGCATTGACTGTCATAAGATTTCTAATACTGGAATTTACATAAGCACTCTTTTCTAAAATATCATTAGTGGCATTTTTGTGATCATTATCTAAAACAGCACTTAATAAGTATTATTAAGAGTAACATGATCATTTGACTTATCTTTACTAAAACTTTTCCTTAGACTAAATGAAGCAATTTCAATATCTATAAAATGTTTAGCCCCATATTATATATATATATATATAAAGCGTACTTATTACAAAAATAGGGCATCAGCATCTCAGCAAACTTGAATGGTCTTTTAAGGTAATCCATGATCTCGTAGTCAAAGGTCAGTTTGGGCACTTTCTAAATCCTTGGCTAAGTTTCATAGCATTTGCACCTCATATCGAAGTTTATCACTAAATATTTCTGCTTAAGCAGTGTCATCTTTATCTAAAGAATCTATCACAAATAATCTTTTTATATCATCATCCAACTTTTGCATAAAATATTCGATATCATCGTTTATAATTTTTTCGTTTATATTTTTTAATTCGTTTATAATTTAAATTTTTAAAATCAATTGATTTTCATGTTGCAAAACGGCTCGTCGGCCGGTCCCTACCCCGAAGGGAGTGCACTCGCTTCCACCCAGTAAAATATGCTACACTGCCAGTCGACAAAGAGAGCTACACTATGCAACTATTTTGCGAAGATCAGCGAGCAACGCGTTCGAAAACAATAGACGAGCAAAGCCAATGAAAATATGATTTTTCAGATTATGTCATTCATTTTCGTGGAAGAAAAATAATCAGTATTGGCTGTTGCTTTATCAAAAATATTTTACTCAAATCATTAAAGATAGTGTTCAGTTTATTCGCTGTTTTTATTAATATAAATAAATCATAAATCTTCTTAATTTTTTCTTTTAATTATGTAGTTATGTATGGCAGGTTTTATGAAAAAAAATTGTTTTGGACTTTCTTGTTCTCAATTTAGATGCAAAAACTTTTGCCATATCGCTTGGAAGATCACTTTTTTAGTTATTACTAGTATTCAAATATTGTTTGACCTTAGTATCAACTGTAAAAAGCCAAATGCTTTCCTAGAAATAAGTTATTCCTTATTCTTCAAAAGCACATAAATTCTGTGCAAGAGCTTTGGGCTTTTTCCCTGAGTCTAAAAATAAGCAACGCCTTTTAGTAGAAGGGTGGAAAAACCGAGAAACTTTCTGGAGTACAGAAATACATAGTGTCCATAAATGTTTACCCTGATTATAAAACATGATATCTCATAAATGTGTACATATAATGAAACATGCATTTAACCTCAAATGCGTAAATTCTCAAAGTTTATTGTCATGTTGAAAATATTAAATAAATTTCCACTTGTGTACTCCTGATGGCGCGGAAAATATCGAACTTGTAACATTCAAATTCACGCCCCACATTCTTCAACATTTCTAGTGTGATTCTGTGAATGGCGTCTGTGATGCACTATCGTAAGTTTCGAGCCTCAGGAACTCTTGTATGGTACACGATATCTTTAGCATATTTGAAAGAAATCTAAAGAATTATGCCAGAGTATCTGGAGGCTTTGGGATCGGGTCCCCTCTACCTATCCGCCAATTTGGGAAAGTTTGATTAAGATAATCGACCCAATGAAAGGGTGGAAGAAGTATGGCCCAATAGAAAGAAGCGCCATTATGTTAAAAAATGGCAGCTGGCTACATGTCGTATAGGACCTTCATTCGGTTTGATTGTCTGTATAACTTCGACCTTGTAGGCACGCAATTTGAGACATGTATATACACTTTATGCACTTTGCAGTATGTCCGAGGCAATTGAAGTTGGTGCACTGAAGTTACCTAATTAATTTCTATGACATCTTGTGAATGTAGTTTGAGCTTTCTTCACTGTCTCGTCAGAAATGAATGCTCTGCCGCTGGTTATTAACGGACCTCGTTGATAAATATTTGGACATCCATAATTTAATTAATTTCACATCAGATAATGTATTTCCATAACGTGTGCTAAACATTCTTTGCACAGCTAATGGTGATTTTGTGTTTGCAAGACACACAACACATTCTGCCTTTTTTCTACAGAAGAGATTTTGATGACACCAGCGCACACAGAGCTCCTAGCCGCAAAGTTGGTGTATGTGACACAACTGCAGAGAAAATTTTTAAGTTCGGGATGTACCTGCAACGGAAAATATACACAGTTTATACAGTCATTATGATGATTATAAACGATCATAATTAGGGTAAACATTGATGGAAATTCTGTGTTTCAAAGTGAGTGAAAGTGTCCAGAGTGAAAAACATTTGACTGGAATTAAAGTCATCAAGTGAATCCTAAAGGAAGAATTTCAAAGGAATATAATTTACGAATGAAAAAGATTTTAGAATAGTTTTAGTAGGGAAAAACCTGAAAATTCAAGAAAACGTCGGTTAACAAAGAAATATTTATTAGTTTCTTGGTTGTAAATAATTGAAAGGTCTTGCTGCTGATCATTATCGGGTTTTTTTTTTTTTTTTTTTTTGTTTTGCTTTGTTTTGTTCTGATGATGATAAATATGTTAACTTAAAACTTTTATTCTTCTGCAAAGTAAAGCAATTTAGCAATTTTTCAGCTGTGAGTTATAAAATGATATTTCTAGCAATTTTGTTAATTTCTAAATCTTTTGAGACTTTACAAATCTTTTTGAATGGCTACACTTAAGAAAACTAAATTACTTTCATTCTTTTAAATCGAAATATTAAACCTTCAAAAGGAGCTTTAATCTGAAAATAGGAAGACCGACCATCTTAGTAACTTAAAAAGCAAAACTGTTTCAGTGAATTTATTTTTACTTTGCATTGTTTTTGAATTTGTATTCCTTTTGTTTTATTATTATTTCATCGTTTCTTTCTCGCTTTTATTTTTCATTGCTGGGTGCTTTATTTAATAGCCACTACCCTTGCGCCACTACAACGGCCGAAAGTGGTGGCCATTTCATTATGGAAGCATAATGGCTGGCCACCGTTGCCTCCTATGAAGGGACGGACAGTTACACTCTTGCCTTCTCCGGGATTCTAACCGGGGCCCATCGGTACAGCAGTCAAGGTACTAACCACACTATACCGGCTGGGCTGCATTTCATTGTTTCTTAATGCAATCACTTGTTTCGCGGTTCTGACTGTTCTGACCTCTTATTTTCAATGCAGCATCTCTCACGTTATTGAAATTTTATTTTGTGATTAATTTAAATTTTCAGGCTGGAATTCTGTTCTGCTTTGTGGCCCTTTTCCGAGGAGTCAGCACTTCAGAGCAAATCGACCACAGGGACTTCCAATACAACTCCCTAGTGGACAGCCGAACTGGACGTTACAACTTCGCTTATGACACGGGAAACGATAACGATATTGCGCATTCTTTGCATATGGAATACCGCGATGCAAATGGAATCGTGCGTGGCAGATATGGTTACACAGATCCTAGAGGGAAACTGAGGGTGGTAGAATACGAAGCTGGACCTGATGGTTTTAAGGCACGTGGAGATGTAGGGCCTGATCTCTTTCCCCATGATGAAGCTCCTGAACTGAGTAACTCTTCTCCAACTTTAGGTTCCTTGATCCAGTCTCCAGGAGACGACTTGCAGTTGGTCCCAGCCCCAATACAGATGGCTGGTTGGGATCCTTTTGCGAATCCCATGGGGAAAGTGAGTGGAGATTCAGGAACTTTCTATCCTGACAGTGTGAGTGGAGTATCATATTTTTCCAGGGAAAATGGTGCGGATAATATCACCAACAATGAGCAAGAGACAAATGATGGCCGGGAAGTGGAATCCTATGTTGATGGCTATCCCGTGGTATCCTTTACTTCGGTAAGTATTCCACAGCATTACCTTAAGATTATTTTATGTTAAAGATTTAAGTAACAATCATATCCAGTGTATAAACTTTTGGAGAAAATAGTAAAATAAAGTAAATAAATTACTTAAATAACACGAAATTTTCTGAAAAAAGTTTTTGAAGACTTACGATAGGACAGTTCATGCAACAGTTTCCCTAATTAGAATCTGTTATTTACTAGACTTAATAATCACCTATGTCCCCCAGACGGTACAGTGGTTAGGGAAGCCTACTACGGTACCGAAGGGCCCGGGTTCGAATCTCGGAGAACACATGGATGTTTGTAAATGTATAATGTCGGTGCAGCATGGCAGCACTCTAAATATGCGGCGAGCCGAAAGTCCTCTCGTGTTGATTGGTTAAAGAGGAGAGGAGGTTGGAGACCCCCGGATTCTCCCTCCCCCCCGAGATGCTCTTTCTTAAAATTGGAGGTGGAAAATAGAAGTCCAACCTCTCTTCGGAGTAGGCTCTAGCAACCATTGTTGCATGTAATACGAACAAGACAACAATAGTCACCTTTAACAAGAACCCTGCTTGATGAGAAAAGGTACTTATGTATTAGCCCAACCACTTTGTCTCAATTTGGCGTTGAAAAATGAATAATTGTCATGCGCATGGTTGTCAGAGTTTTCTGCATTCGGAAGCTTTGGCAATTTTTTCTAAAGTTATAAGGTATTTCTCTCGCCTTCCTAGCGTGCCTTCGTGGCGTAGTGGTTCTGCACGCTGGGCCGGTATTGCAGAGGTCCGTGGTTCGATTTCCGGAGAAGGCGTTTGCTCATTTTTCATCTTGCTTGCTTCCAAAAAGTACCTAATGTCTCTACAAAGTGATTGCGATAAAACGTTAGTATTGAGAAAACTTACTATAAATAATGAAAATCAAGGGCGTAGCTAGAGGGGGGCAAGGGGGCATCTGTCCCCGGGCGCAGAAAAAAAAAAAAACAAATTAATTCAATTTCAATACCTTTCAGTTAATTTGAAAGTTTCAATATAGTTTATAAAATTTAGTTCTTTATTTGAAATTAAGCATATTTTTTACTTTTAATTTTATCAGCATAAAAATTTATAGCTACCTGTTAATTAAGTTTGGATTTGGAATTTAGAAAAACAGTTTCCTGTTCGCAAAATGCATCGAACTTCTATATGGCAGAACTTTAAAGGTATAGAAAAAGTTTCGAGCAACTGAAAATTTGAGTTAACGAGACCTGGTGAAATGCTTTTGAAAATTACACGGGTTTAACGCAACAACATAGAAGTTATAGGCGATAAATGAAATAAAAATAGCAAAATATATTAAATATTTAATTCCCGATTCCAGAAATTCGTGGGAAGCCATTTCGACTGTACACATCTTCGTACGACTGCAATCGGACGAGATATTAATTACAAACTCTGAAAACAGTAATTTTCACGCTTATTTTTAAGAGTGGCAACAGTCTCGCGCGTTGGAGATAAAAATCCTTTATTTCGAAAAGTGTTACTATTGATCGCTTACAAATCGTAGAATATGTTAATCAAAAATTTGTAAGTTTTAAAAAATATGAAATAAAAATAACATTGCCAATCATTAAACATATTATTGTTATATGAGGTTTTGAGTATTCTGACGTTGCAGAAAGCACGCGATTGCATGGGACGTCACTGTATGTCGAAAATTGTTTGTTAATGTCAGCATTTTAAGTAAATAGCTGCTGTGAGCAACTTTCTTTTGTTTCAGGTTAGCATAATTGAAACGATATATTATTTCAACGTTAATTCTTTTATTGATATTGAAAAAATGTAGTTATATTACATTAAATTTAAATCATGACGTCGTATGTATTAACTTGAAGTGTCAGAAGTTTTGTTTCCTGGTTAGGCAATGCAAAAATTATTTATGAATTAGCTATTGTTTGGAAAGAATGAACTGATTTCATTCATATTAATATGTTTTTATACAATTACTTTGCAAGAATACATAGAACTAATAAAATTGTGCTTTAGCTGCAGCCAGCTCATCTGGCGGGCTTTCCCGCTAGTATTAATGTAATATTCTTCTTTCTCTTGAAGACTGTGGCATAAATATTGCCTTAGAATAAAAGAAGGTAAATCTTCGGATTATGGTAACTTATCGAATTTTTGCCTAAAATTTGGCGACTAACCCTGCTACAGCAACCTGCTAGTTTTTTTTTTTTTTTTTTTTTTTGGACGCCATTTTGTTTTCACGAAGTAAAGGCATTTCCCCCCCCCCAACAATCTGATAGCCGAATTACGCTTATACTAGAACTTTTATGGAACAAAAGTGCTTAATAATGACGAAGATAAGGTGCGAAATTTGGAGAAAATGCAGAATCGCCCACTGCTTGCCGCGTTTTTAAGAATTGCACATACACGTTATCCATGTACACTTCGACCTATTTTCACTTAAAAAGTCAAAGAAAATTGACAAAAATTCAATTCTTCTTACTCTTGTAAAAAGCGCCAAACAAATAAGTGGGCGATTCTGCACTATAGCAGCGAAACTGTTTCTAAGTGCTTATTAGCTAAAATCACGATCGGAATTTTCCGGAAAATGTCACATGACATGTCTCATGATCTCTCATTTCTCTGAGACAAAATAATCTGTGATTCGAACAGTGTACTTCACAGATTATTGCTAAAGTCCTAGATAGTAACCTTTATCGCCTTACCAAAATGTCACCAAACTACCTGTTACCATATTCCAAAGATTAGCCTAAAAGAACTCTATTGTTTCTAATTTATCATATATCGTTTAATTATTCATTTTTTAAAAGCTTCCTTGTTTTTATTAGCTTAAATTTTATCAAATAATTTAGTGCGCTCATGGTGACACAAGAGTCTCGTATAACTTGACTATAAACCACAAATTCTTTCACGAAAGCATTTTAAGGCAGAAAATTTGACGTGTTTTGCCTTAATTTATTAAATAAGAATATTAAATTATTTAGTTGTCCTGTAATAGTTGCCTTGTTCATTACTTTATTTGGTGTTACATAATTATTGTTTTCTTTATTCTAGAGTGATATCAGCGATGGAAAGGAAGTGCAAAGTCTGGATTTACAAAAGCCTGAAAACGAAATTCAGTCCGAACAGAATAGGGGAAGTGTTCCTTTAAATATCTATAACATTGACGTGAGTCCTGATGAGATACGTGTAGCTAGCGGCCCAGTGCGTCGGTCCGCTGACGGAAACACCGGTAGGACAGATAGTCGACTATCTAATTACCAACAAATGGAAAACCGATACCAACCATACCGAGTGAAAGCGATATACGTCCCACGACAAACTCATGACCACGATGCTGAAATTCGATACGCTCGACGACAGACTCACGATCACGATGCTGAAACCAGATATCCTCGACCGCGAACTCACGATCACGATACTGAGGTTAGGTATGCTCGAAGACAAACGCATGATCACGATGCTGAAAGGAGATACCCTCGAAGACAAACTCATGACCACGATGCTGAAACCAGATACCCTCAAAGACAGACTCACGATCATGCGGCTGAATGGAGGAGATATTACGGACAAATTCACGATCACTCAAAGCATTCACCACCTAGGAGAATATTTTACAGGGATAGTCATAGCATGGAACCCCACGAGCATTATAACAATCCAGTATACCAAAATTATCGCGACCATCAACATTCAGATGTCCATCTTTATGGCAGATCTCAAAACTATGCTAGTTATCATGTAACTGCAAAACCACGGCAGTTAAAATACATACCAGCAGACAAATATCATGATAAATACTATTACTGGATTTATGATTAATAATTTATAAGAAAACAGTTTACTAAATTTCTATCGGAACTTTAATTAAAAACAATTTAAGTAGCATCATTCTTTCATAAAATAACTACTTGTTTTAATGTGCATTGATTTTATCTTTCAAAGCATAGAAATTTTCAGCCAATAAGGCTTATTTTATTTTAGTTTGTCAATAATTCTTCCTTTCCAAAGATCATCCCACAAGTTCAATATGATGGTACCATTTCTGAAAAGTTGTATCATTTCGCCTCCTTTTAATATTTCTCATACAGCAAAATCACAGAGATGTTTTATTTATTTATTTATCTTTCAAATGCATACTAACATAAATTAAAATAAAAAAATTTAAAAATTAGTATATAGGGGTATTATTATTTCAATTAATCATTTTTTATAAGTTCAGCCTTTACTGTAACTTCTCCTTTCCTTTTCCTCACCAGAAATGTAAAGCAGAGAGTATTTAACGTGAGGTTTGGGGATCCTGAAACAGAGCGTCTTTCTGCCTCTCGAGGCTACGTTCCCAGGTTTCGCCAGCTCTAGTAAGATTGGAATTTTTCGGGCTTTGCGTCATAGCTGCTGAAATTTAAATTGTTACGGTGAGAAGTTCGAAGCCAGCTGAGAATTTAAGTTAATTCCTTAGTCTTTGACTAGGCTTAGTTTCAATTCTACAAATTTACTGTTAAATTTTATCGCTACAAGTGGTGGCTGATATTGGGAGCACAATACGTGCATTTATGTTCAAGTTCTGATGTTAATAAAATGTTATTTTAAACTTTTCAAGGCTCTGTAGTTAATTTTAGACTCAGCAATCATTCGCTAGGAGTCAGAAACTAGTTTATACAGCCAAAGAAAGTCAAACTGTATAAGTAAAAGGAGCGTTAAAAAGTATATAGGCACAATACAAGATTATTGTAATAAATTAATGATTGTAATGTATGTTGGAATAATGAAAAATTAGAATATTAAATATTTATCACAAATAAATTGTTTATTGCTACGTGACTGCTGTTTTGTGTTGTAAGTAATTCTGAATATTTTTGTAGTTATAAGTTAAACAAATAGTTTAGTTTTAACATTATCACTTTCTTCTTATGCTCTTGCTTCCTCTCAACTCCTTTAAAAACGATTCGTATAAGAGAATATTTCAGCAGTAAACAGAAGAATCGTGAACATCACTTGTGATAGTTAATCCCACTATAAAAGCTTCGCGACAGTTCGTAACACTCTGTCGGTGACTGAAAGCGAAAGATCGTTGTGACTGCAGGTAATTGAATGTTAGTAAGGTTCAGTGTTAGTTCCACTGATGACGATTATAGTATAAAACAGAAAAAATAAGACATAATTGATTTCTTAGTTTTAAAAGCAGGGAAGTTTGTGTGGATGTTTTAATTTGTATTTATTCTGACCCTAAGAGGTAATACAGAATCTTGAACTGTAATTTGTATGTGAGTTTGTAAGAAGAGACAAATAAAGTATATAAACCTGCGTGGTATGTATAGTTCACCGAGTAAAAATAGTTTCAGAATGACTGCGAAACTCAGCGGCAATGCCAACCATTTACTTTAAGATTAAAATGACTGCTTGAGCCTCCTGAGAAAAGAGGCTCGAAACATACTCACCCTGCGAACATTTAGTCTAAGCAAAAATAAATAAATAGAATAAAAACATAAAATGATTTAAAAAAAAAAAGAAAAAAATATTGAACAATACCTTATAAATGCTACGCACTTAAAACCAATAAAAGTGGTAATTAGAGGTCTCCCTATTGACATGGATACAAAAGAGATAAAAGAAATTCTTACTGAACAAGGATTCAAAACCCACAAAATCACACAAATGACCAGAAACCGAACTCGGCAGCCTATGCCACTATTTCAAATCCAATTATTACCTACTTCCAACATTGAAGAAATTTACAATATCCCTCACATGTCACTTTTTATTGTGCAAATCGAAAAATATGTAAATAAGAACCTCATCCCACAATGGCATAACTGCCAGAAATGGCATCATTCATCTGACAATTGTTTTCTATCTCCCCGTTGCGTTAAATGCGCCGGGGACTACAGATCTGCAGAATGCCCCAATAAAGGTTATACCGAAAATCCAGTTTGTGCCAACTGTCAAAATTCTCATCCTTCTTCTTATAGGGGGTGTGTAAAATTCCCCAAACCATGAAATACTACTACGCAAGGCCCCAGGAAACTATACTCGGAAGTATTACATCCAAAAACACATATTGTACAACCTATCTTATCAACCAATTAAGAACCAGCCCCCCACTTACAAACATAAAACAGAACAATTTCCATCAAACAAAGCCTCAGCTTCAATTCCAAAAATAACCCAAGCCCAAACACATCCGGATTTCTTGAATTATTTCAAGTCATGCGTGAAATTGAATCTATTTCGGCTGGCAACAAATTACAAAATTAACGAATCTACTCAAGAAAAATCTCAATAACCTTAGATCTGCAGAAACTCAAATGGATAAAATGTACATCTTATTTCTTATCATAGAAGAACTCAACAAACCTGAACACGAATGATAAAAATAAATAAAGAAATAAATAAAAATAAAAATAAAGAAATAATAATAATACTACGAACTTAGATGCACTCTCAGTCAACTATAAATGCTTATGTGATTTCAAATTAATGCTTAAAGGAAATGTTCTTTATCAGACAAAATGGAAAATAGAAATTATTTTACAGCCCAAAATATTTTCCAAGTCCAGCAGGCTTTCCTCAATTCTAACCCCTTCGTCCATTACTTTTTGGCTTTCCCTTCAAAATTTCGTATGAACTGAAAAGAGCCTTAGCCCCTCCCCCCTAGCACACATGACTATCGCACTCTAATCAACGCTCTTCTCCTGGTCAACTTCGATGCATTCCTGACTCCAACTCATTCAGCCTTCATCTGCCAGCACTACTGCCTGCGCGTACTTGCGATCGACACTCTCCGATGGTAATCATCCTGAATTGACGTTCCCGTTGCCATATTACTTATTCCACTTCCCAGATTCGAACAGTATCTCAAGACTCCTCTACAAAATTCATGAAAAAGAAACTTATGCCTTACTTCAATGCTTATCACTTCTATTCTTCACTTCACGATCGACAATGTTCGGAAACAGATCCACGTACTCGACTGGGATGAGGGTTTCTTACCCAGGCGCCCACAAAAACCTGAACTTCGTTCACGCATCGGTTTTTAAAAAAAGCTTTCAGATTTTACATTACGACCAAAGAGGCGTTTTGTTAATGTTTTGTATGTTACCTTTATTTATTAAATATCATGTTCTTCGCACTTAAACTACATAAAATTCAATATAACGGCAATATCGCAAAATAATTTAAATTGAACATATCTTTAGAATTTCCGATACACAGTCTCGCACCCTGAAGTTTTTTTTTTTTTTTTTTTTTTTTTTTTTTAACATTAATGAGAAAAGAACCCGATTGCCGGCTGCACTCTATATCTGCGATGAAAATAATTTCTAATAGTTTTCTCTAAGGCTTCAAACTTGATAGAATCGAAACACAACGAGGCGTCATTCTATAGCAAGAAATAAAGAATTCTATAATTATTTGCATTCGAACACATGCAATTTAATTTATGTGACCAAGAAAATTTAATAAAAAGAGAATCTGAAAGGGTTTCAAATTTGAACAATCATCCAAAAGGGCTGTTTTAAGCTTTAATATAGTTCTTCAGTAGGTATTGTTGACAGAAATGGCTAACGTGGAATAGCGCAACATTTTACAGAAATTTAGATGAACATGCGTTTAGAGTAACTTGGAAATATTCTTTTGTATACTTAAAAGTGGAAACATACGTAATATAATCCTATAAAAATATTTCATGTGTTTTAATTAGGTATATGATGATATAAATAATTAAAATCATGATTATTTTAATTAGGTATATGATAATATTTTTAAGATATGCATCGTTGCTTTCAAATAGTTTAGTTTGTCAATTTATATCAGACTAGCTGCTATGCGACCAGCCTTCATCTGGCTTTTATGCGACCAGCCTTCGTCTGACTTTTAAATGTACCTGCATAATGCCTAAAGGAAACACTTGGGTTCGATGGCCCGTAAGTTCTTCCAACTTTTTCTCCTTTGTTGAGATTCCAACCCTCCCCCTTTGCATATGACTCTGATGTATAAAGCAAACCATAAAAACATATATATCTTAAATTTTTAGCAAATTCATAGTATGAGATGTATATTAAACATTTGTTAAAACACAATTTAATAATGTGCATTCAGTAGGTGGGTTAATTTGATAGAGTTCGAAATGGTACCCACCCGCTCCCTGCCAAAATATTAAAGAATATTGTACAGCATCGTAAGATCTTCATGTATGTGCAATTTTCGCAAAATTAGTGTTATAAATTATTGTTAATTTAAAAACTGCACAGAATTATCGCCCTCATTCTTTCAAGTGGCAACAGTGCTGATATCAGCAACAATGGTAACAGTGATAATCAGCAACAATGGCTGCATGTCATTGTTGCTGATATGCCATTGTTCCTGCAGCCCATTATGTCTCAAAATGAAGCGATTTCATCCAAAAACATTAAATAAAAAAAATAAAAAAAACTCATTCGAATTTTGAAAAAAAAAAAAAAAAATCGCTTCGAGGTGCACTGGCTTTTGTCTAGACGCACCTATATACCAAATTTCGTAGCCCTGGATCTATTAGCTTACGTGCAACACGAACGAAAGGCCACACACACGACAGATTCTTCCTTTTATTATATGTAGAGATAGATTAAATATGCATGAATAATAGCTTAAGTTTTTTTCCGAATGGCAACAAACTCGAATGAAAAGTGAAACAGTGCAAAATAGTTTTCGAGACTTATAGTCCTTTTGGGCTAGTAAGAGAAAGACACTAAATTGTCATTGTTTATTCTCAAAATTTGACCCAGTGGGGAAAGCCTTTCTGAAAGTTTAATAAGTTGTTATAATTTGCTTATTTTTAGTTTAAATCAAACAAAGTTATTTAATGATTAATTAAGCAAATTAGAATTACTTTAAATAAATGTGAGTCTGAAATATTAATGTTGGTTGTCAGTACGTTTGACTTACAAAGTTGTAACCAACAAAAATGTATTGCAGATACCAAAACTTTTATTTCAAATTGAAAATAAATACAAATTAAAAATTTTTCGTTATTATTAATTTATTATATTTATGCATATTTTAATAAATATCTAATTAGACCAAATTTAAATTTAAGGTTTTTTTTTTTTTTTTAATAAAAAAACTTTTATTTTGTTTTAAACAAAACTCTGGCTCCACCAATTATTTTCAAATCGCGCATTTGGCCCGCATTCAGTTTGAATTTGAGACCACTGTGCTAATTTATTAACAATGTAAACAAATATTCTGTTTCAGAATTATTTCAGCGGGACTTTTTTCTTAAGCATTTATACCTTTAGTAGAACACAAAATATAATCATCGGAATGCTGCATTCTCAGAAGTGTTTAATGTTACCCATGCAAATTATGAACAATGACAGCTGAAACTATAGGAGTGAGATACTGATTCAATAAAAGTGGCTCACTTTTAATACTGGTTACAGCACTGCTGAGATAGAAATGTGAAAGTTAGATTGAACCTCAAAATTTAGGAGAGCCTTCACTTGGGTTTAGAAAATAAGAAACTAAACCAGTGCCAAGTAGCTAAGACTAGCCGAAGCTGTACAGAAATAACTAACAGAGTTGGCCCTTCATTAAACCTCACCGGCGAATACTAACATGCACATAGCAATACAGCCGAAAGAACACTGCTGGCCATTAAAATTGCAATACCATGAAGAAAAGCAAATACAAAAAGAAAAAAAAAAAAAAAAACATTTATCGTATGTAAACAGTATAGCATGAAGACAAAATGATTAAATTTGTAAGCAGTTGGGGGTTTACAGGGGTTCGAAATTAATAGAAACACCTGCCACTCTGGCAGCTAAAACGGCACTTACCCGGTTAGGCATGATGTCGAACTGGGCTTGGATCACAGAAAAGGGCAATTCATTTCATGCTGCTTCAAGTCTAAGCCACACTTCATCAATCGTATTAATTGGAGAGGGGTGGCAGGCCAGTCTCTCAGCAACCTATGACCAGTTGTTTTCAATGGGTGACAGATCTGGAGACCGTGCAGACCAGGGCAGCAGTCGAATACTCTGTGTATCGAGGAAGGTCAGAACACGACTTGCAACATGTGGTTTTGCATTATCTTGTTGGAAGATGGCGTTTGGCAAGCCTCGAAGATAGTGTACATAAATGGCTGCCCACCAGGTGCAGGGCTCCTATGCCAATATCGAATGCAAGCAGGTGACGTGCGGTCTCCTCGGAGCCTCTAAACACGTATACGACCATCAGAATACTACACGCAGAACCGGAACTCGTCTGTGAAGACGACATTGTGCCACTTTTGTATTCAGCATTGTCGTTCGACGACCAGAGTCGGC